CTTGACGTGGTGGTTGGGCTTGCCTACCGTGATGACCCAACCGAGTTATACTGGCTGGAGCTTATGTTGCTGAGGGTTCTACCATGCCAGGCAGGTCGATTGGAGAACGATGAGACTAAAAGCAGCTAGCGGATAGATTAAAAATGAATTGATACAATTTAACTGTTAAAAAGAGATTAAATTATTAATTTAAATTCACTCCTCAGATTAAAAGAATTTTTACTTGAATAAAATTATAATATTCATTAAGAAACTCCATAAGTACAAAATGATTAGAAGTCAATTGAAATTTAGAGATTTCAAATCCCAATAAAATTAGAATATGTCTATTTAGGTGTCGTACGTACCATACATTATATCGACATAAGCATGACAGTCTTTGCAGACTATATGAAATATAGCTTGTTTCCAGTGTATTATCCCTGGAAACGTAAGACGCAGGTGCATCCACTCTTTGTGTTCTTTGAAACTCTAACCTTCTGAATTCCTCGTCATCTCTACCTTTCTCCTTCTATAATTTATCTTACTGAATTATACTTCTCGAATCATATCTTCGCTCCCTAATCTTCTCCATTACTGCTAATACTTCTATTATTGCTATCACTCTTGGATTTGAACTGACAGCTGCGTCTCTGTGCTGATGGGGCGTGGCAACCTGAACTGATGTACGTACGTACGAAGTTCTGAGTTGTATCTGTCTGTCTGTCTGTCTGTCAGTGTATTATAATTGTCACTTCTGAATTTTGTTTTATCCTTTAAAACAGTTTACCATAGCCTAAAAGGATGATTCACTTCTGATTAGATTTCCTACGTATACTACTAACGCGAACTAATTAAGCGTACAATAATCGGCCATATTTGTAATATACGACAACAGCATGGGATTATTGAATTATTGATTGACTATCGATTTATATGTATGATAAACACCAAGTCCTAAAGGTTCGTATATTTTATCTTTTCGCTATTTCAGTAAGAAATATAATATTACGGTTGTGTTTCTGTTTATTCATTACTTCGAATCTTTTCTTTAAAGGAATATTTTCAATTTTTTTTTTACTGTTTTAGAGTTGTACGCACAGAAATGGCTGCCGTCTGCATACATTTAACTTCTGCCTTTCTTGCAGCCAGCTGCTTGGAGAACGTTAATGACGAACAAAATTCATCGACAAATGAATTCATCAATAATCAAGAACAAAATACATTAAACTACCTGGAGCATCAACTTGTCTGTATGACTAAATTAGGGTTGCCGGCAGATTATCGATTGAAAGAACTTCGTGCAGTTGCAGAAATTAAATTATCTTTAGGTGCAGTGTAAACAAGATATGTATGAACTTATCCACAGGTTGTAACTATTTTTTAAAACAATTTAATTTTTATGTCTTCACATTGTAACTTTCCGATTGTTTTTTTTAGTTCGAAAACAAAAAAAAACGAGACTAAGCATACTTGTATAATTAAAAGTGTATTTTCGTTATTCAGTGATTTTGATTAAAGCATTTCAAAAGCCAATCAAATGCACAACGGCCGATATTATTTCAGTTAATTGATTGGTACATGATCAAACAGTTAACTCTTTGGTAGTCAGTCTAACCGTATTATGCATACAAATTCTTTAAAGTCTGTCTTCTTAGTTCTCTGAATCGTCTGATTTTTGATCATCTTCTTTTGTTTGGATAAGTTCAAGTACATGTTGTACAGGTCTCACTCGTCCATCTTCACCGATAGTTCCTGGTTGAATTAATCCAGATCTGAAATGGAACCAACATGTCAAGTTATCAATCAATTGTTGAATAACTTTGGTTGTTACAATTACAAGTAATGTTCAAGTTATTTTATACGATATATTCGTACTTCATTTCATCACCTGTCACAATAACTCACCTTTCAAGCCTGTCAATTTTCTGTACTAAGTCCATAGCAAGATATTCCTTTTGTTCTTCAGACATATTTTCCATTGGATTCGGTTGTGGAATTTCCCATCGACCTGTCACAGGATTCACATCTTCTTTCAACTTTTTATATTCCTCTGTTTCTGATTCCGTCGATGTATCCGAATATTCATCATCTGACTCTCCAGTACAATTAGATTCTCTATTAGCTTTTGATGGTTTCCCAAGTAAAGCATGACGTGCGAGAAATCCAGCAAAATTGCCAAAACCGGTGTATTTCACTGCTCGTCCAACTAAATACGTCAAGTAAAATATTAAATCTTAATCAGAATATCTTGGTAAAAACTACTTAAATAAATCAATCCATAGATCGGGAAAAAGCCATTCATATAAGAAACACTACTACATTGGTCGGTTCATGATTTCAGCGAAAGACAACATGGTAGATGAGACAAATAGTTACATTAAAAATCTTTATAAAATTCGATATCCTAGTTTACATAGTTCAGCGTCGAAATATTTCTTTCTTTCTTCCTAGTCACAGTTAATGTACTTCGGTCTCTATGACGGTACCAACTAGGTTTCTTCCAAGTTTCTTTCTAACCTTACAATTTCGCACCTATTCTTGGACAGAGAGTAGTAAATACCATGATTAGGATTTTCTTCGCTGGTACGCCGTAATTTCTGAGTGTATACTCACTTTCTCTGGTTACAGTCATTTTTTTTTAACTAACTCTTTTCAATCAACAGAATATTTGGAAATATTTTTACTGAAAATATTATAAGTATGCTGAGAAATTCCGAAATCAACAACAACACTTGTTCCCACTATTTAACTGAATAAGACTATTTTTAATTTACTCCATCTTCAGTTAAATTTTAAATACAATCCTATTATCATTAGGATTAGCAACTAATTAGTTGTAATCTCCTTGCTACCATAATTCTGAATCAATGAAACATTACTTTTATGAGGTTACTCATTGAAAATAAATAGAAAAACTCATAATAATACTACTTACTGTTTTCCTTGCAAAGTACAAAGATAAATAATGCTGCCGATTCACCAACAATCTGAACTGGATTTGTCAGCAATTTACAAAGGCTGGAAAAATAAAATTCAAGTTTGTTAGCTTTTATCAAATATGGGCAAATTAAAATAATCCACCTAGATAGACTCCTACTAATCGTTGGGTTTTACTTGTGGGAGTAAATACTCATGAAAATGAGGTTACCACCCGCCAAATGTGTATCTGCATACGATGTTTTTTGAGGATAGGCTGCAGTACTATATACGAAGCGATGGTTCTACTGTTTGCTGTGCATACAGGAAGCAAATAAATTCTAGAGATGTCTCTGCGTTTTAAGATGGATATAATCTACAACTAGGTACGTAGTGAATTGGCTTCGTCTACGTAAAGAATGACATTGAGTTTAATATGCGAATTTCGTAAACGACGCGCATCTACAAAGTGATGCTATTGGATAGAAACTTGTCTCCATTTGGATGATTAAGTCTATCCTAACTATATTTTACAAAATGATTCACCATGTAGTACTAATTTCTGTATGTATACTTTTTGATCAACATTGCTATTCAGGGATCACATTTTGAAAAAAAATACACCTTAGTATGTCCAGATAAAAATGTATGGAGCATTTTATAAGCATAAAGCCTTTAACCCTGAAATTTGTAAAATAGTGTTGTAAGTGACAAAGGCTGTCAAATTTAGAACAAATACAATATTTTTATACTTACTAATTTCTGATGCTATCACCATCTTCTGGTAGACGTGTAACATCTTTACCCAGGTAAGGTAGCACCTAAGTGAATAAGACGGAAGTCAGTTGGTTAATGTAAATTCAGTAAGACTGATAAATATGCTAGATTTTCATATGGTTTGACAGCTCGATGGTTTCAAAGCTTTCTGTGTTGTTGTTACGTCATACAATTTTACTTTGTTGGATACAAATTGATTATTTGCCTACCGAGACAGGATATGTCCCCATATATGACCATATTTCTGGTTCCTCCTCCATATATCATCAGTAAACAGAAAACTTTTAGAGTGCAATAAACTGCTTGTAAGAGACAAAAGCTCCTTAATAAACTCTGGGGCTTTCAACGGTCGGTTTTTAATTAGATTCTCTCATCATTTTTAAACTTATAGATGTATTGCTGTCTGGTAGGAACGTTGAGCCTATTGAGTGGCGAAGTAAGAATGGGATAAGTTCGTCATCTCCAGCAGACACGAATGACTAGTCTACCCTAGTTATAGCTGACGCTTTTTTAAGTGCTGAACTTCATTTGGTTCTTTTGCGCTCTGTTGCATTACTGTTTTCTTTGGTTGCCGTATCATCATTTTAACTCCTTGTTCCCACAGAGATACGAATTGTGACAATTTGATGGCAGATTTTACATCTGCCAGTATGAATTCAAAAAGATTTGATTTATCTTGTAGAAAGCCAGGATAAATTGAAATCGATTTTACTTACAGAAAACAAATAAGACGAGGTTTGTTGCCCAAACGTTTGGGCTATTTTCTAACTGCAAATATTGCAACCAACTTTCTTGTTTGAACCAAGTGATCCTTGCATATTTCTCCCAATTATTTCAATTAGGAGTCTTAGTGACTGAAAATCTGTTTATATATTAAACTCGTATACTAACTAAGGGATTTCACTCACTAATTTTGTATTACATTTAACTGTGATAAGTTCAAATTTATGAAAGTAACTTGTAAATTGTACTTTTTTTAGGAGAATGGCAGTTTTTTGTATCAATAAGATTAATCTTTTAAATTGTTGTTTTAGTAACTTCGCTTGCTTAACACTAACTTTAAGTGCCCTTTCATAAAATATTTGTGGATTTCAGGTGAACTACGTGTAGCCATCGAACATATAAACATCCCAAATGGTTACTAAGGCGAATAAAAAACCTTGAACTTATAAGAACGTTCGCCAGAGTTCATATCGTATTCAAAAAAATTACCGTATGATACGACCGGTAAAAATAGTCCAAAATATTTAGTTGCATACATATAAATTTTATGTAATCATTAGCAGTAGTAGTGGATTATGAAATCTATGTAAATTAATAAACTAAAATAATTATATAAAGGATTTGTGGTCGATGGATCCACAGCCTCCGTCTTGTCGTTTATTGTTATAATTTAGTTAATGCATTTCCCTATTACTGTAATGGTGTTAAGGTGAAGTTAACTTCAATTATAGTTATTGTTGATCAGGCTGTTTTTTCAAATACATATCAAAGACGTCAAAAATATGTCTGTTTATTACATGAGCTCAAATTTTAACTCACTTTTAAACGGCAGAATTTCCTAATCTGGCGATTCGATTTACTTGCTCGAGTAAGACAGTTCAGAATAGGACAAATTCTTTCATCAGTTCGTAAATCACTAGCAGTTTCGGATTCTTTACTAGCATCCTAAAAATTAAAACAAACTTATATTAAACGTGAGTAATTTATTTCGTAACGCTTAGATAGGACTAAAGAGTTAACATAGTAATCTCCTAATCTCGACAGGACTTTACTGTGCAGTGATTGTCATTTATGAATGAATATGAGAGAGTTACGTAGTAATTATTCGAGAGTTATTTTAAACTATCTAGACTTGTGGAAATATATCACTTCAAAAAGAAACCAACTAAATAATTATGGAGAAAGTTTAAAGAAAAATAACTGAAGAAAGACGTACCAATTTAAGTTGAGAGTGGAGAAAGGTTATTAAGAACTCGATAGAAGACATTTTACCAGTTTCATTCTCTGAACCCGAACCTTTTGACAAGTTATCAACGACATGGTCACCAGAAGCCTCATCTAAAAGGTATTTGTATAAATGTTTTGGAATGATGTTCAATACGTTGACAACCTGACTGAAAAAAAAGATAATAACAACAACACTAGGACTAATGAAATTTATTGCTCATAACTTGACACACATGACCTTATCTCGATTAGTTATATGAGGAGAAATGTTTGCTTCAGTGATGAGACTTTCCACTCACTGAGCATCAGAGTAAGTTTTTTTTGATTATTTAGATAAGCACATGAATTCTGGTACAGCAAGTTACCGGAAAATGCGCTATAAAAATGAAGCAAAAATATTGTAGAGATAAAGGAGAAGAGTTTTTTCACTGATGAGTACAAATAAACTATAACAGGATCGCTAATGACTTTTATTCTGAGCTATATCTTATGAAGTCTCAAGCCATTGAGTTTCAAAATCTCTAGAACCTTAACCGAAAGGTATTATCGAAACTAAAATGTCATCCCTACATCGATATCTTTCATACTACGAAGCTGCGTTATAAACTGACTCCCCTCTACGTCCGCTTTCTCTAAATTATCCCAGTGTCCGCAGAGTTCGCGATGTGGAAGCCGCTGGAATGATATGTGTAGAACGTGTCCGAAATTGTTTCAAAATAGTGATACCAATTAGTTACCATCCGCGCTCCAATATGCATTTCCATATTCTAGCAATCCTTCGGAGATAATCGAACACATTTGTAAATTACCACGTTAAAAAGTCACTAAACCCAAACTCTGATCTTAAGGAGTACATAATCATCACAGACAAAAATATCAGATATATTAATCTGAGTATTTGAAATGACAAATCAGAAAAGTGTACTGAAAAAGTTCCGAGGAGAAAAATAAGTTTTATTTAAAAAGACAGTTAAATAAACTGATACAGAATAACTATATGCAGCTGCAATATATTTTCAGTAGGTGTCCAGTGTTAAAATCCTGATAACTATATTTGATGGATTAAAATGAAAGACTTACTAGCAACATTCTCCAAGCGTGCAAGATGAATTTCATTTACTGATGCCATATGCAGTAACTTAAGACTTGTAACGTATACCTGACGTAATAGTAGTTTCATTATAAATCCATTGCACAGAGTACGGCTATTCAAGGGAAAGCTATTATTCATGCTTACGCTTACAATTAAGAACAAAAGAGTAACCTAGGCCAGAAAGTAATTTTGGAACTCTGAATGTAAGAGAAGGCTTTCTGTAATTGAGAATGCTTATCGTTATTGGTTTGAGAATGTTCCAAAAAGATATAAAGAAGCCTGGTTCTACATTTTCAAGTAAAATTTAAGGTAAACATAACACCACACCATTTTCATATTGATTCCGTTGAAGGACTGTGGATGTGTGTAACATCAAGGACATTTTGTTCGCATAACTGGGGATTCAAGAAACAATTTGCACGTTTTACAATGTTTATATATGAATGCTTAGAGATCACCAGAAAATGAATACCATAACTAGCTACCAGATTAGGTGAGGTCTGAAGTTCTAGTCGTGATTTCAACCAACAAAACTCCCAGTTAAAACAGAGATCACAGCTGACTACTTTTGTCGATTAATGACCCAATGCGTAAAAAACGTAACTGCTCACCTGGCCAAAGCATAATTATTGGATTGGTCCAACATCGGATCTTGTAAAATGCATCTCAACATAACTACCAGGTTTCGGATATCATCACCTAACTATCACATAAATTAAGAGAATATTTTGAAACCTCTGTCGTAACATCTTCATCTCTAGTTGAATAGAGTATATTATATACAACTTTAAGTGCTTCTGCTGCAACATCTGAATCAATTGTTTTTGATATTTTCAGCTTAACGACTTTCAAAAGCATTTGTAGAGCGTTGAATTTGATTAAATCTTGTCTGGATTTTATGTGATTTAAAATATTACAATACCTTGAAGCTGAATCCAGGGCGGGTAACAAGAAAAAGAA